GCGCCGCCCGTGCGCGCCTGCTCGGTGCACCCCGGGGTCCGGCCACTTCTCCCCCGAAGCTTCGCGTGTCCTGGCTTCAGCGCCAGTCGTTACGCCAGGATTTAAAGAAAACCGCGGTCCGGCGCACATCTGTGTGTTGCCGGCGTCTCTTACGCAAGATTAGATCGGCTCAAGCAGAAAGAGGATGCAGAATTTGGTAGCCGATGAACATCACCAGGAAAACTCACATCCGAAGAGAAGCGGCTTGCTTATGGAGGTTCTGCTGGGGACAGAGCCGCTTGGCTGGTGTGGGTAGAGGGAGGACGGCAGCCTGCAGAAGACCGTGTCCCCCACTTGGGCCCCGGGAGCCCGGGGATCGGAGGGAAATAAAACCAGAAGGGAACGGAGAGTTCACCCACTCCAACGCCCTGATTGGGGCAGATGGAATGGCAGACGCTCAGAGTAGAGGGAAATGAGTTGCCAAAGGAGAACTAGTCAAGACAGTGGCTGAGCCAGGGCTCCAGACTCTGCGGGTGGGACAGCCTTTCTTAGGGACTCCACTGGGCGACTCTGAGTAACTAAGGCTGGAGGGTTCCCCACTGAGTGCTTGGCGCAACTCAGAAAAACTTTTCAACGCAAAGCTCAGCCCTTCATGACCGACAGCTGTTGTAAAGGGATTATCTAGGGGCGCCTGGCTGACTCAGTCAGTAGAGCACGTGACTCTTGATCGCGGGATTGCGAGTTCAAACCCCACACTGGGTGTAGGGTTTACTTAGGAAAAGAAATAAATGAAGAGATTACCTAATCTGCAGCACTAAGGAGGGCAAAATGAGAGTCAGAGCTGAGTGTGTAATTAGTACAGATTGTTGGCTCTACCCTCTAGGTGTAGTTAAAGCGATTACACATAGAAGCCAGTTTCTGGGTTTAGCGTGAGATCTCCTCGCTGGCCTAAAACGTTTCACCGACAATCAGTCGCATGGTAGAAACAATTTGTGTGCGTTTTCTAGTATGTACCTAATAGAGCAAAGATATTTTCTGGAAAATCACTGATAAACGAAGACATGAATGATTGAAAAGAGAATGGTTTAAGGGGTGCCTGGGTGGCTCAGCTGGCTAAGCATCCGACTTTGGCACAGGTCATGATCTCATGGTCCGTGGGTTCGAGCCCCGCGTCGGGCTCTGTGCTGACAGCTCAGAGCCTGGAGCCTGCTTCGGATGCTGTGTCTCCCTCTCTCTCTGCCCTTCTCTCTCTGTCTCTCTCTCTCTCGAGAATAAATAAGCATTAAAAAATAATTTAAAAAGAGAATGATTTCAAATGATTGTCATAATCTAGTTTGTAGCAAAATGAGAAGGTTTTGGTATGGTGTAGATTTAGCTCTTTTGTAGGTTTGGTTTTTTTAAGTTTATTTATTTGGAGAGAGAAGAAGAGTGCATGCATGTGCACAATGGGGAGGGAAGAGAAAGGAAGAGAGAGAATCCCAAGCAGGCCCTGATGTGGGGCTCGAACCCACAAACCGCGAGACCATAACCTGAGCTGAGATCAAGAGTCAGGTGCTACTGAGCCACCCAGGCGCCCCACTCTTTTGTAGGTTTTTTTTTTTAAATTGTATCTGCTACTGGCTGATCTCCAGATAGTTTTTCCACACGCTTCTTGTATTTTCTAAGATGTCTGACAATCTCTCCCACTTAGGGCTGTCCTACAAACTGTTAACAATGATCTTCCTAAAAAACGCAGATCAGACTGTGATTTTCTTACTTTTAAAAACCTTCAGTGGCTCCCTATTGCCCACAGAGTGAAGTCTTAGCCTTACCTCTCTCCCCCTGAGCATGCCCTACCTGCACTCCCTAATATTGATGGTTTCGCTCAAGCTGAACCCCCTGCCGGAAATGAATGACCATCTCATTCAGCTCTGCCGTAGTTCCATCCATCCTTCATGGTGTAGATTATATCCCAGTTGTTCTGAGAAGTCTTCCCAGATCCTTCTATTTGGAGATCTCTCTCCCCAACGCCTTCGGCTTGTGCCTCTATCTGAGCCCTCATGACCTTCTGCCAAGCATCTGGTTGGTTTGTCTATTAGTCTGTTTTCCTTGCCAGAGGGCGGGATTCCTAAAGGCAGGCACTAAGTCTTTCTCCAACCTTCTAGCTCAATGCTTGGGACCTTGTAGGCTACCATTAAGTTTGTTGAATTAAACTGGATTATACCCCCCACCCCCATCCAGGGTTGTCCCCATTCATCTTTGACCAAAACTGGTCTTTCCTCTATCTCCTATAATGCTTCATCGTCATACTAAGCTGTCCCCTTTGTCACTAATCTCCATGATGGTGGCCCAGGCCCAGAATGTGTCTTTGGTGAGACTCGCATCAATGTAAGCCATAAAAGCCCAGCCGTAGGGTTGCTGCTGTTAGACGGGGAGCCTCACGAAACCTTTAGCCACAGCTTCGGAAGCATACAGAGGTATTCCGAATATTCCCGGGGGCCCTTTGGAGATGGAAAGCTCAGGCCAGCTTTGTGCTTGGGGAATCGAATAGCCCTGACCATCATTGCTGATTTCTTCAGAGAAATAGAAGGGACATAGTTTCCATTTTCGGTCCTCAAACCCAGAGCTCTTTTCAGAATTTCACCATGCTTAATAATGCTACTCAAACAAGTATGCGATCACTTTCACGTGGAAACACTGGACTCTTCTCACGCTTTTGAGAAGTTCTCTTTGGCACTACGTATTTTCCTAATCAAGGTGGATTTTTTTTTTCAAGAAACAAATCCATTGCTACTTAAATCGCTACAGTCTATTTGATACACAGAATTGTTCAAGAGGTGGCATAGCTTCATGTGAAGTTTCAGGGTCAGACCTGTGTTCAAATAGCACCTCTGTCACTTACCAGCTGTGCAGATATGGGCAAAAAAGTAACCTGGGTTGGAGCTTCCTCATCAGTAAAATGGGAATCATAATGGCTACCTTGCAACACTATTGAAGAGGTTAAATTAAATGAGGTAACGTATGTAAATATCTTAGTACAGTGCCTGGCACACAGTGAGGACTCACTAACTGGTAGTCCTTTTTATGATTCCCAAACAAAGGGTCCAAGAGATAAAAATAACAAAAGAGGTCTTTGGTGGCACGGGAGATTAGAAACTACCAGACTTAGTGTCTGCCGGGCTTACCGTCACTGCTCTAGTACACGAAACCGTTTGGTGTTCGCGGATTATTTGAAGAGCAAAACAAATAGCACAGGGGCCCGGTGGTAACATTAATAGATGTTGTTTCATCTCGACGTTGGGCAAAGGGAATATCCGGAAAAGGGATCTGGAAGCAAGGCTCAGAGTTCTGTCATTCAGGTCAACCCTAAAAATACTCCCCTGCATTTAAGTTGAGAAGTGGCCTCGAGACTCAAGGCTGCGCTTTCAACAGATAGAGCCATATGTGTTCTCAGCTTTGGTGAAATCCGATCATGACCTGAGCCCGTGCTGACCTCGGCCTCGCCTATGTGCTCTGCATAGTTCAGCTTTCAGAGAAAGACGTCTGACCTCCAAACAGAGCACTGCTCTTTGTTTTTTTCTTCTTTTTGTTTTCTTTGTATGTATTTATTTTACAGGGAGAGGGAATCCAGATTAGAGTCTGGTGAGTCGCTTTTCCCTGGGTAAGAGGGTTCCCTGGAAAATTGGATTTGATTTCTTACGGGCCCTCAAGGCAAAAAACTTTCTCAGCTTTAGAGAAGCAGAATGTAGTCAGATTCATATATGTGAAAAGTTTCTTGATACGGCAATGAAAAGCAAGTGTACTTAACAACAAAACAGAAACATTGTATCAAATATGATCGGCAAAGGATTCAATAAAATATATATTCCAATGAATAGGAAAAACCTTAATACCTGTCAGATAAAAAGGCAAAGGATATGAACCGTTAAGCGTTAAGAAACGTAACTAGTAAACTAAGGCAGAGAAAAAGTTGATCTGTGCAGTAATCAAATACATACAGTTAATGAAACCTTGATATATCATCGAATGCTGACCACGTTATCTTTTTGCAAATGAGGCCGGTAAGTCGCTTTTCTCATCATTGCCGGTGGCATTAGAAACTACAGTAGCCCTTTTGGAGAGGAGTGTTGCAGTCTGTGTAATCCCCCCTGGCTTTGATCACCTTGACCTTGCTGCCTGCTCTAACCATTGCCAGCTTCAGAGCAGCCCCGGGCCCTGGCGCTGCTCTGCAGGCATCCTGGACCAGCTGAGTCCCCACACTGTCTTCCTGTGACTTACCGTTTCATCCCTTGTAAGAGGAGCTCTTCCTTCCCCTTCCTTCCTTCCCTCTGTAGAATCCCAATCATTTCCTCTGTGCCTTTTGCTCTGCATCTCAGTGTCCCCAAGGGATCTTTCCAGCTCCGCTGGCCACAGGACAGTTGGCTGCTGAGGGCACTCACATCGCATCACCTTCCCAAGCTATTGAAATAGCCACATTGGCGACAGAGTCTAGAAAAGCCATGGGAGTAGAATTGAGTTCTAAATCTGGAAAAGCAAATCTGAAAGAAACTGACCTCTGCTCCAGGGTTGGCCGTCTTGAATTTCCTGATACACCATTATCTACTCAGATTTGCCTTCTGAGAGATGTTCAAATTAGGCCGACGTCAACATCCCAATTTCTTTTTCAGAATCGTGAGCATATCTCATAAATGGTGGGTGGTCAAAGAAGGAAAGCCCTTGCCCTTCAGCCTCTCCTTGGTCTTTGCTTAGTATCAGTTTAAATCCTATGCATTAGATTGATTTTGCTGTGTGTGTGTGTGTGTGTGTGTGTGTGTGTGTGTGTAAGTCAGCTTCTCCCCGTTGGTGTGACCTCTGCTAAGAGCCCCTCTAGCCATCCCCTTCCGCTGGGGGGCCGCACCACCCCCCCGGCACCTCCCCATCTCCTGGCAGCCATCCTTTCCACGAGAGCTGGGGCATCCCAACATTCCAGACAGATGCTGGAGTCCCGGCTGGCCCACAGCTGATGCTCTCCTGTATTTCACCTTCTTCTTCTCTTTCGGCAGAACTGGCTTATGATCTGGATGTGGATGATGCTCCTGGAAACAAGCAGCACGTGAATCAGAAGGACAATGAGATAGCGGCCTCTCACAACCTGGGGAGCGGCCACTTCCCCCTGAAGGTTCTAACCAGCTTGGCGGTCTGTGTGGCGTGGTTTTTCTTCCCGGTGCACTGACTTCCTAGTGCACCGCACACGTGCTGCCCTTCAGCACCCTGTGGTCCTCCCCTAGAAGGGGACCCACCTTCTTCTTTTTTTCTATTTTTTTATCTTGTATACCTCCTCCGGCCATTAAGTAGAAGACTAACTGCGTGTGACGTTTTCGAAAATCAAATGGCGTCTTTGAGGAAGGTAAATTTTAGTGGTAGTGTAGATTGTCTTTTTGCAAAGAAAAAAAAAAAAAAACACTCAAGTTGTGCCAAATTATTTTCCTATGTTTGGCTGCTAGAACATGGTTACCATGTCTTTCTCTCTCCGTCTCTCTCTTTCCCTTTGCATGGATTTCTTTGGAAAAAAAAAATAATAAATGCTCAAATAAAAGTGCATCGGGTGTTTTTTGTAAGCCCTTGTACATGGCGACCGTGTGGGGATTCTCCTCCTCCTCACCCAGCTTTCTGTTCGGCAGGAGAAAATCCCATCAGGTGTCAGTGAGGTCCTTCAGCCCCACCTCCTTGCCCACCTTTTGACTGGGTAGGAGTCCTGGCCCCCGGCCCCAGTCAAAGCCACCCCTGGCAAAACACTCCCGGTGCATAATCTGCACGTAGAAATCTTGGAGTGTCGTAGAGTATGTCTCTTGCCTTTGAGACCAAAGGTGTCCCAGAAAGTTCCTATCTCCATTGACAAATTTCCCTCTGCTGAAAAAGCTTTGCCCAAAGAGAAACCCTCTGTGTGACTCACGTACAGTCACGTGATCAACATTCTCCCTTCCCCTAACCCAGAGACACGGGTCCGGGAAATCGTAACGGCGCAAAGACACGCTTCCCCAAGCCTCTCTGCCGTTGTCTCAGGCTTACTCTCTGTCACCCGTGTCCGGGGGCCACCACGTGGACAGGCCCAGCACCTGCCCTGGCTCAGGTTGCAAAGGTTGGCACCAGGAAAGCCACGGTGTATAGGAAGCAGCCTCGTCACTCTTGGCCACAGGCGGCTTCTTCAACACCTGTTTATTCAACAGCTAGGTTTCGGGTCCCCGTTGCGTGTCCGCTACTGTACCAGATGCTGGAGACGGGAGAAGGCCAACGATGCGATCCCTGTTCTCCCGCAGCAAAAGGTCTGATGGCCGTGCTAACTTCAGTACCTGCTCCCTGTCCGTCGTAGGCCGGTATGACAACTTGGCAGCTGGTCTCCACACGCGCAACATCACGGGCGATAATGGCCCGGGTGTTGAGGTTTAGACGTTCTGCTGCCAGGGCACCTCGGGGATCCCCAACTTGCCGCTGTTACGATGCCCAGCGTGTTGCCTGTTTAGCCAGCTCAGCTCGACGGAAACGTTATCGATTCTTTCTCGTGAGCAGAAGCTCAACTCCCCCCTGAGGGCAAGGACGGGAGGAGCCGAATGACTATAAAGTATAAGAAAGAGAGGCTGAGACACGGCCAAGGAGCACGAGCAAAGATCAAGGAAGGGACCCGAGAGTCCCTTTTGAATCTAGAAGCTGGTCCCAGCCAGGGTCTCCAATTTCCGTCCCATGGCAAGAGGTCACCGTGCGGGACGCAGGAGGCGTCATTTCTCACGACTTCTCGTCCCCCCTCGTCCTGCTGTCACCAACACACTTCTGTCAGGGTCTCCTGAGGACCCCAGGCCTCCATTATTTATTGTCATCCGTTGCAGACATTTTCACAAACACAAATTGGAGACGTTGGGTGCAGCGTTTCCTTCGGTTGCTTTGGTCGTGGACCACGATCAGTTGTATTTGTGAATCTGGTTTCAGTGATTTGTAGCAGCTGGTAAGACTGGAAAGGGAATTATCTTTTTCAAACCATCATTATTTCTGTGTCTGAACGGGATTTGTAGGAATCTTTGTTCTTGGATTCAGGAAACCCGAATACTGCGAAGGTTTCCTCCTCGGACTCAGAGTGCGATACTATAACACCAGACCAGAAGAAGGAACCAGAGCTGACTTATCGCCTAATAACGGCCCCTTCTGCAGGAAGGCTTTTATTTAATGTGGTAAACATAATTTGTGGTTCTGAGGCCAGGTTTTATGCCTGTGAGCAGGAGAGGACTGTTGTAAAGTCCATTCTTCCTCTCTGGGAGATGAAAGGAATTGTCAGCTTTTATTTTTTTTTAAGATTTTATCTTTAAGTAATCCCTACACCCAACGTGGGGCTCGAACTTACAACCCCGAGGTCAAGAGTCACATGCTCCACCGACAGCCAGCCGGGTGCCCCAGGATTGTCAGCTTTTCCACACCCTTCTCATTCACTTCCCCTCTCCAGGCCTCAGTTTCCCTCCTGTAAAGTGGAGAATCAGGGCAAGATGTCTAGCCTCGTTGTTGCTCTCATTTTGTAGGGCCGTTCGTTGTCTTGCCCAGCACTGACGTCACGTACGTGCTGTTCCTGGACACCTCTCAGGACTTCTGTAGCCTACGGTCGTATATGACATGCTTCAGCGGCCAGAACACGACCCAAGCCATCCAGTGCGTGTGCTGTCTTGGTACACGGCCCGTCCGCTTGGGTCCGTCAAGGCTAAGTGATGGCGGCAGAAGACCGCTCTTCTGGGATGTCCATGGTCCGCTGGCTTCAACTAAATGCTCGGGATTAAAATGGATAACCACACCCATTTACAAACCATGAACACTCTGCCATCTTTTACTGACGTTTTCTTACACCCAATAGCCTGTCTCTTTTCACTTTCTATCCATGTCTTTTCCTATCCTTCTATATTTTCTATTCCTCTAGTTCGGAATCCAGTTGCACGGCTAGTTGGGTGGCTTTTCAGTTTTGAAGTGTTCGTTCTACCCTTTGATTTAAACTTCCTACACATGAATTATGGTAAGATGACTATTTTGTCCTTAGAATGGGCCTGGCAGCTGGGAAGTTGGCCCGTCTTGTTGGAAGTTTCTAGGCCTCTGTCTCATCGAATGCACGTGTGAAAATCCACCAGCCCCACTCTGGTACTTGAACAAGGTTAAATCATAGAGGGGTATATGGAATCCCTAGGCTGGAAAAGACCAGCTGGCTCATCCCACAATCTTCATTTGATTACTGCCTAAGGCAGGGCTCCTCACTAGGTTATAAAGTAGCCTATTTGGTTGCTGGTTACCTCCAAATTTTAGCAAGCTTACTTTATGCAAAAGAAATACATATAGGTGATAAAAAGTCTGTTTTTTTAAATTTTTTAATGTTTATTTTTTGAGAGAGAGAGA